CCGCACTACACCCGCTTCATACGTCAGATTTTTGCAAAAAAATATTTCAAACGCACCTTTTCCAGAAGTGCTGTGATCACCAACTTCACTCGGTAATTAACGTAGTTTCCTTCTCCAAAAAGTGACCAAATGTCCATGTCAACAACACGATTGGAGTCATTTTCGAGAAATTGCTGTAACACGACAACATAAGTTTCGTAAAAATGAGTGAACAAGAAGACTAACCGCGAACTCGTCCAGTGTCCTGGGTTTGAATCTCAGCGGGGGTACGGTCACATACCGACTCACATTCGGCCCGCGGTCGACGCATTTTGCGGGTGCTGGAAATGTGCATTGAGATTATGGACTCCGATTTGGATACTTACGCTCTCCTTCACATATTTCTTCAGCCATCTTTCGTCTCGGTGTACGGCTGCTTTGTGCTGGTGATGCTTCTACGCTGTTAGCAGCGCTCATCTTTATCTGTGAAATATCTCTAAAGACGAGCGCTTTTGTAGGACAAGTCGGAAGTAAAGGAACAGAAGAGAACGATTTCGTGAGTTACCACATAGTATAGGCTAACAATTTTAAATGGCTCAAGAGTGCTCCTGGCTACAGACAACACTTGCGCGTAACAGATATTGTTCACGGTGGATGAAATGGTTAGGGAAACGAATTCTGCCAGTTTCAGGCGCCTCCGCGGACTATTGGTCCTGCAACGACGTGCAACTGATTCAAAAGGATTCGTTGCCAATGAAGGCGACTCAAACTGGCGGAGTTCATTCTCTACCCGGATGTAGCGCTCCATGACCACTATCTCGGAACTTGTTACTTCTAAAACTAAGGACACGACCAGCAAGCTTTCTCACTGCAGGGCGTTATGTAGATACCAAAACTACTAACCTATAACTGTATCGGTATATTCTGGAATATTTTGGGTTATGACCAGCGCTATGATATGTTGCACTTTTCGAACTTAGTTCAAAAAAGCGAATCTGCTTGCTGCAAAGTCCGCATGCGGAGCGGGGTACTGTATACCGCATGTCCCAAAACAGAAGGCTACGAGAATATATTCTTACTGTAGCCTTTGTAACACAGAAGTTAAGGAAAACAGATGTGAGAAGCCTGAAATATCTGGAATGCTTAACTGTATTTTCGCTATATAATATAACTGTTCTAACATCTTCTTCAAAAATAGTTTCCCAGTAAATAGTTGATCTTTCATGTATACGAAACGAGAAGTGATTCATAAAATGCTGTTTTGACCTTCCGTACAGCTACAGATGTTGAGATAAATAAACTACAACTGCACTTTCATTTTCAAATGCTGTGCCATTCAAAAAGAATGTAAAGAACAAACTTGGGGAGGGGGTAAAAAAAATCTCCTTTCATTTTGTCTAGAGAGTTTCAAAATAGCCTCCTAAAGTGCAAATCATCGCGAATTGTAAAATGCTATCCTATCTATGCAGTAGGAGAAGTTGCAGACAATTGACGACTTGATACTATTGGATTTCTATTTGTGAGAACTGTTTTCGAACTCTCCTCACTGTCAGAAACACCACTAGTAACCCGATTTTTCTGTAGAAGAGTTGAGAGCTATATCAAATTTATTGTTGCTTATCCTAGCCCAATTTCGGAGTAGTTCACGTTTATGATCTAACGACTTACTATGAACTCTTCATCACATTCGAACATTTTCTAGCGCTAAAGAGTTCCCGCGTCGCTTTGTCCTCAAAATAACTCGAAAGGCGCGCCGGCCAGCAGGGACGCACCCCACCGGCAGCAATCGATCCGTTAGCGCTGGTGAGCCTGGGGCTGGATGCGGCTGGTGTTGTGCGTTCGAAAATGTAGCGACTGCATTTTTTGTCCAAAAAATTGGCCTCCTTTTCTACCCTCCGAAAAATTTGACGTTGAGGTAT